TTTACTAGAACAAGTGTGGAATACCTCCTTGATTTCAGGAACATGTTTAAAATACATCTATTAACTTTCCTCTGGGAGTTGGTACAGTACAGGGATGCTCCCCTATGCACTCAAGTTCAGACCTTGAGAACCACAAGCATGCCTCGCTCAAGTTTACACGGGGCTTATTAAGTGCTGTCACAGGAACAATCTCGCGGCGCCTGAGAGACAGGCCTGGGGAGGCCTCTCCATCCCGCACGGGGAGACGCGGGGCTCCGGCCGCTGGGTGCACACAGCTGGGGCCGGGGCCTGGCACAGGCTGGCTTCCTCTGCTCCGCTGGTGCGTTCGTGCACGAGGAGTGTGCAGGGATCTGCCTGCTCGGAGCCGCGGAGAGGTCGGTCAGATGGCGGCTGTTTTTGTTTTGTTTTGTTTTAACGTTTATTTATTATTGAGAGACAGAGAGACAAAAAGCGTGAGCTGCGGAGGGGCAGAGAGAGAGGGAGACACAGAATCTGAAGCAGGCTCTGGGCTCTGAGCTGTTAGCACAGAGCCCGACGCGGGGCTCGAACTCACAAACCGCGAGATGGTGACCTGAGCCGCAGTCGATCGCCCAACCCACTGAGCCCCCCAGGCGCCCCTAGTTGGCGGCTGTTTAAGGGGGTCTGACAGTTTTGTATCCTCTCCAGGTTGCTAAGTTGACTTTGATAAAACCCACCCGCAACCTTGAGTTTTCCCATGTTGACGTGAGAATACGTACATCTTTCACGGGGTTCTCATGAGGAAGGTCTGAGGAAGGAGATTAGAAAGTACTTATCTGGCGCGTACGAAGGGCGTAGCAATGGCATCTGGGAAAAGAATAGTGTTTTGCACACACAGAACGGCAGTAAATACCTGTAAATGATTCTAGCCCATGACACATTGAGATCACACCATGTCTAAGGTCCTGGCGATCACAGGGCGGCTTTGCAGAGGAAAAGGTGGCAAATACAGAATCAGACGTTTCCCACTCTGCTGCCAAACCTCCTGTTTTCACAGCCTGACATCCAGCTTTTTGGTTTTCTTACAGGAGTACGACATGGGAAACTATTTGGCTGTGTTTGGTCACTACTCACAAGACGCCCAAATTTGTTAGGCTGTTTTCTTTATATTAACAAAAAGATCCTTTTTACCTGGAACGCTGAAAGTAAGAGTCTTGTATGGCGCACATTTGTCAGCTGGCTTCTTGGACACGTGACCCCAGCCACGTTTGTAAAAATGGAGTTGAGTATGGTTAAACATAAACAATTTGAACTGGTTCCACGTAAGAGACTTGAAATGAATTTAAACACTTCCGTTTGAAACTTCCCTTCCCTCCCTCCTTCCGTTGTTCCTTGTGGTTTTCTCTTTTTCTCTCTTCCCCTCCAGCCACGGGGGCGCATCCTGGGCCCCAGCTCTCTGTGTCCTCCGTGGAAGGACCCAGCGTTTGTGATTCAGATGGCTCTCCTCTCTGCTGGCAGGGAGGGCAAGTGGCTCCCAAAGGGCACACGCTGGTGCTGCCTGGCGTCTCCTTCCTCTTTGTTCTTCACCCCTGTCCCCATCTTCCAATGCTGGTCCACATCCCCTCCTTCCCGAGTGACTGGGGACTGAGGTTCTCGTGACAGCGGCGGCTGGACCTGCCAGTGGCCTCGCCCCGTGCCGTCTCCTGGCAGACAGGCGGAGCTGGGCTCCCGTGTTTCCCACGTAAGGTCTGGGTCTTTGCAGATCTTTAATGTCTAAAGCAGCCCTGCCAGACTCTTCAAAGCCCCCTGCTGTCTCTTACAGAATTTTACCAGATGGCTCAAGAGAGCGTAGGGGGCCTGAGAGCACCTGGGGTCGGCCAGGACCGAGGATAAGGGGACATTTCATACACAGCAAACCAATGTCACTGGGTGCAGTTCTATATAAATGGTGGCATGTCCTTCTACGTGTACTGGGTGACCGGGAGAGGACTTTTTCTTGGTCAGTTATTTTTTTTAAGTGCTTGCCATATTTTGCTGTTATTGGAGATCTTGAATACTGAACTGATTTAGAGTTTTTCCTTTCCTTTCATTTGACTAAATTTACTCTCTCATTTTCCAAGTCAGACTTGATAAGCATCGGTAAGTGATGCATTATTCATAAAGAGCTGGTTGAAGTAAGAAAATGTAAGTTAGACTCTTTTAGACATTCCACTTATAGTACAAAATTTGTGGTCTAAGTGCTGCTGAGGTATGTTTATGAGTAAGGCATGACTACCAAGGAGGGTGTTTGCAACAGTTTTTGTGTCCATTTCTACTCTTCTGATTCTCCTTTTGCGATAGCCGTGCCTCCTTAAGTACCTGACAAGGTCTGACGTTTCAGCAGGAGGCAGGGTTTTACGGGGGAAGAGGCTGCTGACAGCGAACTCCAAGGGCTGGTGTCGTGACGCTGGGGGTCGTTTAAGGTTCTGACGGCAAGATGCCAATAGCTGCTGCCAGACCCCGTCCGCCTGACCAGCGCTCAGAGACGAGTTGGCAAGAGTGCCGTGTGGCAGGTTGAGTCCTGGGGAGTCGCATCTCGTGACACCGACGTCCCGGGGCCTCTGTGGACAGGGCTCGGGGACCTTGCGATTGAATCCTGACTCCTGCCTGGGACCCATAGGGACCCCCGCACGTATCACCCCACCTCGCTGGCTTTCCACTTCTCTTGCACCAAGTGGGAAAACTAACACCCCACTCCCCTCCGAGGGCCACTCACTCCTTCCTCATAAGACCTGAGTGGCCACTCTGAAGTGCTCGGCATGTTGACCAAAGGTAATTCGAGGAGTTACTGCTTTTTCTCTGAGTTTCATCTTGAATTGTCCTTCAAATTTCAAAGCTTTTAGAGAAACACCTTCTGATTTATTTGCCAGGCACGGGGCTCTGACGTTGCCCAGAGCAGGTCTGTTCCCCACTGCGAAGCTCTAAACCAGCCATTTCTCCCAAATTTCAGCCCCAGACAAACAAGAAAACGACAACAAAATGCGAGGAGTTCTGCTGTCCAGCATGTGACTTAGGTAGAAGGAAGAGGGGAAAGGCGTTCACTCTGAGTAGAGACCATGAACCCCCAGAGGCTCACCCGTGCTGAGCAAAGAGTTAAATGCTTAGTCGAAAATCAAGGCTCTGCACTCCACTGAATGGGGCAGCCCCCCGCCACCCTCTTGGGACCTGGCACATCTTTCCAGGTGACTGAGCATAGGTTATTCTAACATGAATCCTCAGGTGGCCCCACGGTGCAGTTTGGGAAGCTGTGGCCTCTGCGTGTCTCTCCGTGTAAGTGGTGTTTCTCCCATGTGGGACCCTGGCTGCTCCGGATCCAGATAGAACTAGAGGTTATCAGCCCCGCTCTTCTTCTTTTAAATGGGGAGACTGAGGCAAGACTGTGGGAAGAGCCTCAGCAGTCTAGAGAGTGTGACCTGATGACATTATGGAGAAACTCTTTCCTTAGCAGTAAGTACTCTACCTTGGACGTTTTTGCTTTCTTGCTTGCTTTCGTTACTTGACATATTCCCCATAATATTTTTTTAATGTGTGTTTATTTATTTTAAGAGAGAGAGAGAGAGAGAGAGTGTGCCAGTGGGGGGAGGAGCAGAGAGAGAGGGGAAGAGAGTCCCAAGCAGGCTCTGAGCTGTCAGCACAGAGTCCAACGCAAGGCTCGATCCCACAAACCGTGAGATCATGACCTGAGCCGAAATCAAGAGTCAGACGCCCAACCAACAGAGCCACCAGGTGCCCCTAAATATTCCCCATAATCTTGCTGTGGGCTGGGACTTGAGGGACAGTCTTGAGGCACAATGGACGGTCACAAGGAGTCAGTGGGACTCTGTTTGGCTGGATGGGGTGTAGAAGATGGGCACAGAGGTCAATGTTTCATAACCAAGGGAGAGTTCGGGGCACTTGGGACGGGACTTTGTCAGCAACGAGTGAGAGGACACACGACCCAGGAGAAATAGCGTCAAATTTCTGCTTCATGTAAGAAAGTTTCTCATTAATGAGCTTGATATGTGGTCTGTTTGTGGGGAGGGGGTGGTGCAAGGGTGGGCGTGGCCCCAAGACGCGGACAGCATGACCTGCCTGGGTCGCCAGCTGGATGGAGCCCCACGGCCGTGTTGCTCATTTTCTCCGTGAGGTGGGCGGGGGGGGGGGGGGAGGCGGTGACCACGGGGTTTTGCCGGGGCTGCTGGGTGTCCGCGGTGGTGGCGACCTCCCCTCCAGCCCAGAGTGCCACAGACCGGAGCAGAGGATGGCTGCCCACAGAGCACACCTTGCTGGCCCACGCACACCTCTCCCAGGATGGCGGCAGCGTGGAGGAGCTCAGAGGTTCCGTGGCCAGTCCGTCACTGCTCCGATCCCAGACCCGTGGCCAGTCCGTCGCCGCTCCGATCCCAGACCTGGCGAGCTTCACACACCGCCTGCATCTTGGGTTCTCTTCCGTCGCAGACAATGAGGCTGCCACACAGAACTGGAAGTGTCCGTGCTGCTTCCGAGGGGCTCCAGCAGACCTCGAGGACGGTCTAGGGGCCACTCTAGGGGCCTTGATGGCACGTGCTTCCCCGGCCCTGGGGCTGACCCAGGGCTCAACTCTGGGCCATCGCCTGAGAGAGACTCGCTGGGTGGATGCGAGGACAGACGGATGAACAAGGGAGAAGGGTGAAGCATGAAGCGTGGCTTTCCTGTGTCTCCTGCCTGATGCCCGCTGTGCTCCTTGTTCCACCTGCTGAGCCCCGATGCACCAGGCACCGGGTGCCACATAATCCCGCAGCTGGGGCATCTGGAGACGTGGACCCAGAGCGGAGGGTAGTGTGCCCCTTGGCCCTCCTCCGTTCCTCATGGACGCCGCTTCTCGTGAGGCCCTCACGGCCCCCCTCAGCACCCCATATCCCCTATCACCCTTTCCCAGCACTGGATTAGCCTAACCCCCCTCGAGGGGGTACCAGCCCCCCCCAGGCCCCGCACCTGTGCTGAGTGTGCGGAATCCCCGTGGGAGCCACAGCGGGGGGCCGCCCGGTCCCTCCTGAGGCGGAGGCGCCCTGCTGCTGGGTTTGCTCTGACACCCAACAGAGAAGCAGGAAAGGACAGCGGTCCTGCCCGCCCCCGGATGGAATGAGGAAGTCCCCATCTCCTTGCCAATGGTGAAGACAAGACCAAACACCCAGCAGGTGACCCGGAGTTCTTCCTGTTGGCAAACACTTTCCCCAAGGTTGTTTTTGCCAAAGCGGCTGCTGAGTGGGTAACTTGATGGGGCCCCGTGGGAGCCTCGGTCAGGAGCTCAGGGCGGGTGAGCGGGCGCCATGGGCCTCATCTGCCCCTCCGATGGCTTTGGGTTCACACTCAGGGTGATGTTCTGCGTGGGCGTCTCTGAAGAGGCAGAAACACGCAGACAAGCCAGCATTTCTGTTGAACACTCGTGGGGGCCGTGCTGGGCAGGGGGGGGGGGGGGGGGGGGGGTGTTATCGTACAAATGGCCTCCGAGCTGAGCTCACGGCCCTCGAATGACGTTCAAACACTGGCAAGACTTACGGGGTCAGCCCCAATCTCACCAGTGCCCTTCTAGATATTCACGTAGCGATCCTGCGAGGCTCGACCTGACAGACTCTAGAATGATCCTGGGATGGGTGTCCCGCTGAGGAGAGAACAAATGGAGTCCCTTTTCCCCTAAGAAGGAGTGTGCTTAAGGCGTCTTGCCTTGGTTGGCATGAGATGGAGACACAGCCGGTCAGTGTCTTCAACCTCCTCCCACAGCACACGAGGCCCCGCGAGCCGCAGCCCTTCCGCAGGTGCTTGTGGAGCCGAGGGAGAAACAGGACGACATTCAGACCCGAGGTGAGCGGATTAATTATTAAACAGTCTAACACAATCGATATAATATTGCTGGTGTGTTTCCTTGTAGGTATTTCTGGAGCTTGCTTCAATATTTAATTCAACCCCAAACCGTAGGTCATTAGGAAATGTATGTTCCAGGTTACCGCACGCTGCGGCCTGCGCCTTTCGGTCACACCGCGGAAGGACTGTGTCCCGGAGGCAGATTTGGGGGTCTGGTAGGTGACATTGGAAAGCTCTCTCCTTCAAAGGAAGGTTAAGAGACACTTCTCACTGCTCTTTTCTTTTCTGCCTTTTCATTTGCAAATTCTTCTTAAGTAAACAATTCGCCAAGGAGAAAGGCGTGATGAGGTCTTTGTTGAGGACTGAAGAAACCGAGAAGTTAACCTCAAAGAGCCAGGCCAGCTTCCTGTAAGTCCCCCCCCCCCGCCCCCGCCCAGGAGGCCCCAGGAGGCCCCAGGCCGGTGTCCGGTGTCCGTGTTACTGGGCGACATGGGGTGCCATGGCTGCCTGTGTGTGAGGCTTTTCTCGGCCGCTTTCACGCGAGCGCAGTTTTTACTTGGCCTAAAAACCAAAATACAAAAAGTCCTACACCTTTAACTTTCATCCTTTTAAAAGCTTTTGAATTATTTTCTGAGTTATTGAATGGATTTGCCCCCTCCCCAGGCCAAGCCTCTGCCGGGTGGGAGCGGGGGAGGGGAGGACGAGTGAGCGGATCAGGCTTGTGCGTGTGAACTCTACTTGGAAATAAAAAGTTACACTTTCTTTCACATTTTGATGTGGATCTTTTACACAGTAGCTCAGAAGAGCCATCGGCTGTCCTTATTGGCTGGGGGTGGGGGGGTGGGGGTGTGTGATGTGCACGCAGCCCCAGGGAGCCCGGCCTCCCTTCACCTCCCTCCCTGCGCTTCACCCCAGAGCGGTCATTGGTGCCTCCTGGAGTGTCCTGCCATTGCAGAGAGAGCCTGGGAGGGCGCTCTTCCCAGTCTGGAGACCAGGAGGCAAACACAAGGGGTCTGAAGGGCCACAGCCCCTCGGAAGCTCCACGGGAGAGTCCTTACCGGCCCCTCCGGTTCCTGCGATGGTCCTGGACCTGTGGCCACAGCCCTGCGGTCTCTGCCTCCATCCTCACGTGGCTTCACCTTTCACGTGTGTGTTGACTTCCCTCCCTCTCAAAGGACACCAGTCACCATGGGTGAGGACCCACCCCAGGCAGGTGTGGCCTCATCGTGACTTGATTGTGTCTGCAAAGAGCCTATCTCCAAATAAAGTCACGTTCACAGGCTCAGGCGGACATGACTTTGGGGGACAGTACTCCACCCCATGCGGCCACCACAACTTCCAGCCTGACGTCAGAGATCAGAGATGGGATCCCCGGGGCTGGATGCGTGGTCGGAACCAGGGACACAGCTTGGGGAGGAAAACGACCCCGCTCTCAGGGGTGTGACCCTGGAGCCTGTGGGTTAGGGGACAGTGACAGCACGGCAGGAGTCCAGAAAAGAAATGTCGTTTGATTGACTTCTGCCTTGGATGGTGTGGCTGTCATACGATTGATTCCCCGTTTCTGGGCACCACGCTGCCTGCTGACCCGGGGAGGTGGGCGGCATCTGGTCTGGGCCCTGGGGGCCCTGGACCCCGTGAGCCCACGGATACAAGCCCCCGTCACACTCCGGGACAGCTTCCCTTCACGGCCATACCGGTTAGACTGCAGGCCTACAGAGGGTCACTTTTTACTAATTTTAAATAGGATCGCTCTTTATTTTTAAATGAAGAACGTATTTGTGTTTTAGCCTTGTGCAAGGGAAAGTGTGTCAATGACAGGCAAATTCGAAATTTCCATAAAAGTACCGTTCAGTTTACTGACTTCCTTGTAAACGCAAGAACATGTGTCCAGTTGTGAAACAGGACACATCAAGGGACATTAAGGTACTCTGGATAAAGTCCAATCCAATTTCCCGGTAAATGATTTGCAGGAGGGGCGGGGCTGCTGCCCAGGCAGAGACTTGGGATCTCAGGCCACACGAACTGTCCCCTTCTGCGGGTTTTCAGGGTTGAGAGGCAGGGAAGAACGAGAAAGCAGAATCAGCATTGTAAAAGAAGCTATAGACAAAAGGAAAAAACCGCCTTTTACGGAAGAGAAAAGTTGCAGGAATATTCTTTTCTACCCGAAAATGAAATCGGTGTCGAGTTTATTACCGTTTGGGCTTCCTCTCCAACCGGAACTGGATCGCAGACACCATGTGACCCCGCGACGAGGCCAGGGGCTCCGGAATTGCGGCGGGACAAACTTCGGGTGGGATCACCGAGGCCGCAGTCCCCGCAGTGAGAGGCAGATCCGCCCCGGAGAAAACCAGGGGCAGCACGTGTCTTGCAGGGGGAGGGGTTAATAGACGTGTCTCCATCCACCTGCCGTCTGCCATTGTCTGTTCTCACCTGAATTTCCTCAGGAAGAGGAAGGAGAAAATCGTCAGGTATCAGAAAATAAAAATAACCACACGTTCTCACACCCAACCCCGGAAATTAAAACGAACCGATGCTTCCAGTTTGCAGGAAATGCAGGAGAAGGAGGCAAAGCACCCGTCCCCGAAGGGAACAATCAGACAAATGCAGAATGTGGGGTTTTCTACCTGGAAACTGGCCCGCCTCCTTGGGGAGATGGGCCTAGATTGAAAGAGGCAAGAGAGACACAAACAAAATAGGACGCGTAAGCCCTGAGGGTCCTACAACGGAAGGCACTCACGCCTGACGTCAGATGCCCTGAAGTTCTGTATGTGACAAGTGTTCCCTTTGTGGGAGAACAGCCTCACTCTTCACCATCGCTCAATGGGGTTGTTTGGGGTGATTTCCACCACGTCCAAGAACAGAGCAGGGGAATAAAGACATTTTGCAAATAGTTAGATCTGGGCACTGGGTTATTTTCTTTCTAACTCCCTCTAAGTTGAAACTATTCAATGAATAAAAAGTGACACAGATGGTGTCACGGATAACGTGACGGGAGGCTGCAGGCCAGGCGCCGTCAGTCCACGGCTGCGCAGGGGCCGAGGAGGGCGAGTCTCCGCACGGCCAGAGCAGACACGCCTGCACCTGCCCGGCTCTCCTTGGGCACGTAGGGACAGTCTCCCACGTAAGTTTTCTCCATAATCTTGTGTGCTGCTTGTGAGATGCCGTGTGTATGACTCTGGTCCTTCTGGGGAAGAGACCTTGGCGTAGAGACTTGCTCTGGAGCGAGGCTGTGAGTCCTGCGACGTCTCCGTTTTCCGGGAATGACGGCCAACACTTAGGGCCAACACTCAGTCCCCAAGTGCTTTGTGTCCATTAACTGCCCCACAAGGCGATTCTGGTCGGGCCACATACAGCCGTGTCTCACGGGTGGGGAACAGGCGAAGAGAGCCCGACTGACCCAAGATCTCACGGCTAAAACGCCGCAGGACTGAGAGGAAGCAAAAGTGCACTGACATTTGCAGCTTATTCTGAAATCTGTAAAGAACACGACAGACTGATGGACAGAGGATTAGACAGACGAGCAGGTGTGGATAAAGTGTTGACTACACAGCATCTAGGTGGTGGGTATATGGGTGTTCACTGAGCAATTCATTCGGATTTCCTGACTTTAAAAGTTTTTCACAATAAGATGTGGAGGGAAAATATTTAAAAATGGCAGAACCGAGATTCAAACCAAGGCAGCCTTGCTCCAGGGTCTAGGTTCTTGGCCACCATGTGCCCCAGCCTCTCATGCGGGAGGAATCGGACCCCAGAGGCTTCAGGGATTTGAGCAGATTGTTGCTGCAAACACATCACAAGACTCAAAGGAACCGAAGAAATTATCTGGTCAACCCATTCTTTATTTCATTTTTATTTTTTCTAATGTTTACTTTTTTATTTAGAGAGAGATAGAGACAGGGATAGAGACAGAGCGCGAGCAGGGGAGGGGCAGAGGAGGAGGCAGAATCCCAGGCAGCCTCTGCACTGTCAGCACAGAGCCCGACGTGGGGCTTGAACTCACAACCGTGAGATCATGAGCTGAACCGAGATGGAGAGTCAGACCCTTAGCCAACTGAGCCAGCCAGGCGCCCCTGAAAGGCGCCCCTCAACCCATCCCCAATAAGACGAGCCTCAGGGAGGGGGGTGACTTACTCAAGGTCGGGGAAGGGTGAGGACCCCGTCCCCCACTTCGCATGGCTGCCTCTGTCCACCGCTCTGTGTCACCACGTCTCCCGGTTGGGGCGGCCGAGCCGCGGGCTGTGTGGCCCCGTTTATCGAGTCTGTGGGTGGGGCTCCCTACGGACGGTTGACATCTCCCCACTGTGCTGACCTCCCACCCCAGGCCTCTGCAGCCTCCCACACAGATGCTGCCCTTCCCCTCGGCAGTGCTGTGGGCTCCGCGCAGAGCCCACGGTTTATGGAGCCACACAGGAAATCTTTATCCTTGAGTTTAAATGTCTCTGCTTTCACTTCTATTTTTAATATCTTGGATTCATAGAGCAATTTCCTTCGATGACCTCACGTACTTCACAGACATTATCTAATGAATCTTCCCAGACTGGGGAATTGATGGTGTCGTTAACCAGAGGGCACCACTGCGGGGGGGGGCGCCCCCCACCCCTCGCGAAGAACTTCGGTGTCCTGACTGTGCTTGCTGGGCGGACACAGACGAGAGACAGCTGCTCACCCTGGAGACGGGATCTCTGTCTTCTGACCCCTCTTCGAGGGGCCGGGAAACAGGACTTGTGTTTGCACAAGGAAATGCGTGGAGCACAGAACTGCAGGATTGTAGCATTCCAACACAAGGAGGGCCTGTGGGAGATGGTCCGCTATGACCTCCACGCTTCACTGGCCGGGACATGAGAGAAGTCGAGGGACGTCCCCAAGGTCACTAAGCTTATCAACGGCAGATCCCCAGCAAGGTCCCAAGTGGCATGGGTCTTGGAATTACACTTTTCAGTGATTAATATTTTGTTTCCTTGCAGGTACTCTTAAGGCCCCACCTAATACTTGCCCTGGGATCACACAGGCCTTTCTCAGCCCAGGGCACTTCTGCCCCTCAAGGAAATTAACTGGGAGGCGAGACTGAGGCCTGGAGGCCCGGACGACTGAGCGTATCCCCACCCCCCCTGCTGGGGGTGTTAGCACAGGCAGCAGGTGCTAGGGCCAGAACCGCTGCGCACCAGATCCTGTGCACGACGTCCACACACACAGCACGACGGGGGGCTGACACCTCGCTGTCAGCGGACTGTGGCTGGCTGGTGACTGTGGATGGCTGGCGCAGGTCTGGTGGGGCTCAGAACTGCCCCCCGACGCCTTGTAATTCGGTCGAGCTTTGGCGAGCAGTGCACACGTGTCCCCCGCATGCAGGGAGCGCTGGGCAGGAATGAGGAGTCGCGGTTCGGTGCGGTTCCCCGGCACCCTCGGCCCCTGTGGGACCTTAGGGGGTGAAGAAGCCAGGGCGCGTGCTCTGCTGCGGGTTCTCGTAATGCTGTGTGTGGTCTGCCTGGTCCCCCTGCAAAGTTCAAGGGTGCCCAGGCTGGGAGCCGAGTGTGCCTTATCTTGGCATCTTCGGTGTGAGCTGTTGCCACCAGAGGCGTTTGTTTGTTGTTTGTTTTCTGTTTTAAGTAACCTTTTCTCCTCTAAATTTAAAGCCGAGTTAGTTGACATAACGTAGCAATCATTCCAGGAACAGAATTCTGCATCCCTCACTTGCACACAGCACCCAGTGCTCATCCCAGCAAGCGCCCTCCTGATTGCCCGTCACCCCTTTAGCCCACCCCCCACCCAGGCCCCTGCTAACTGCCCGCAGGCGTTTCTGTAAGAGAAATCCCCCAGGTGGCTTTGCTTCTCAATTCCTTTAAGCCAATGTCTCGGTTCGTCTTCCAGACATCACTTCACTGAGAAGGATATTGTACTTCGGTCAAGCTTCATCCCATTACTTATCTGTCCACCCATCTATCCATTAATGCAGTAATATATTCTTGAACTCTCCATTTATCCCACCACACTCAGATGTACACACTGGATTAACCGTGATCTGTGGTTCTTTCCACGTTTCCTTCAGCGGCCAGTGGATGGTAGGAGGTTACCGGTTATACTTTTGAAAATGCAATAAAGCGTCTAAGAAGCCAGCACCGCTGGGGCGCCTGGGTGGCGCAGTCGGTTAAGCGTCCGACTTCAGCCAGGTCACGATCTCGTGGTCCGTGAGTTCGAGCCCCGCGTCGGGCTCTGGGCTGATGGCTCGGAGCCTGGAGCCTGTTTCCGATTCTGTGTCTCCCTCTCTCTCTGCCCCTCCCCCGTTCATGCTCTGTCTCTCTCTGTCCCAAAAATAAATAAAACGTTGAAAAAAATTTTTTTAAATAACTAAATAAAAAGCCAGCACCGCAAACAAAACCCAGGACTCTGACAGTGACCTCCCTTGACGTGTGAGCCCTCCCCGTCCCAGGGAACTGCCAGCCCAAATCGCAAGTTCAGTGGGCCCCTGCTGTCAACTTTCTGTGGTCGTGCGTCCACACGTGCACCTAGGAAGTGTGTGTGTGAGCACAGTGGTTTCTACCTTCATAACGACAGCAGTGTACTTGCTGTAGCATTTCTACGTTCATGGGTTAAACGGCCTTTCCAACCCGCCGCCCACTGTGCGACTGTCCCGTCCGACGGAGTCTGGACTGCCGCCTGTTGCAGGCGGCCCCGTCAGCTGGCCACAGTTGCGCAGGTGCGCGAAGGGGGCAGGAGGCTCCTGGGTCGGGGACAGGACTTATTGCTCATGTCACAACAGGCAGTAGGGACACCGACATAATTGTCCTCAAGTCCCACGGGATGATACACACGGGCCGGGTGGGGGCCACACGTGTGGGGTGCCTTACAGAGAAGATCCCTGAACTGGGGGAACTTGAGTCCTTTACAACAGGCAGGACGCACGGCTACTCGGGGTCCAGAGGGAGCCGTCCTCTCTGTCTTTCAAGGCCATTAGTCATACAGACATCCGGGGACGATGGTCGGGGACAAAAGGCAGTGAGTGCCCTCTTGCTGGACATGCAGAGATGCAAGCCTCGTGGTGAACGGTCTCCCAACACAGTGCAGGTTCGTGACACCGTGAAGCTTATGATACTAACACCAACAGAATAGAAACATCTCCGAGAAAGTAAACATAGTAAGCCTTATCAACTCACTGCTCCCTAAAGAAAACGAATTTCTCCAATTTTTACCACCTTGAGAGGCAAACGGGCTAAGCTTTAAGGAACAGGACAGAGGACCCTGGGGTCCTGAGCCCCGTGGTGTGGGTAGAGGCTGCGGAAGGGGGTGGCAGTTTTGTCTGAAGTGGCCGTGACCGTGCATCTGATGG